CAATTCTATGCTACATGCTGTTGTATTTTTTTCTTTACAAATGTCTTTCTCTCTTTATAAGAGAAAAGCCAAGTCTCTCATCCATCCCAAATCTTCTAAGAGTATTCTACTCAAAATCTTGAAATCTTTAGGATGTTAAATAGTGTCAGGAAAGTCCTCTTTTAGTCAGGACACTATGATCAGTATTTAACCAATTACTTATTAATAATTATTAATAACTTAAGCATATGAGATTTAATACCTTCCTTAAGCATATGAGATTTAACACGCTTCCAGGAATACATATCAAGAAGGTACTTTCAAGTGTTAAAAAAAAAAATCTCAAAGATACTATTCCATGAAGTATATGGGAATGATATCAAAGGCAAAAAGGAATAATGTAAAACTTTCAGACTACTAGAGCCTGGTCAAGAATTTAAAAAAAATAAATAACCAGACAGAATGCCATACAATCAAGTCGGCCTGATGGCAAACCTCCATCGAGTTTCTGAGGCTGTAAATCTTAATGAGAAGAGAGACTGCCTCATTTTTCTGCAGAATAGCTGATTAATTCAAACCACCAACCTTCCATTAGCAGCCCAATACATAATGCACTATGCTATCAACTCTCTTGCACTGCCATCAAGACAGAACCAACTCATAGCGTGACTCTCTGGCTTGTTTTCAGAGGCTGTAAAACTCATAGGAGGTGAATGCCAATCTTTCTCCTTTAGAGCATCTGGCAGATTTGAACATCTCCCTTTGGGTTGGTAGCACAACACTTTACCCATTAGGCTACCAGAGCAACACAGTAGGTATTTAAAATAAGGATATAACAACTTTACTTCAAAGTGTTAATATTTTTAATATACTAGAATTCCATTCATCCATAGAAACTCAGTGAATTTAAATATATGACAATTTAAGAAATACATGAGAGAAATATCTTTCCAAATTATTTTATAAATATGCAAGCAAATATTTAGAAAACTACTATTTTAAAAACACTCATTTTCACTTAGTCTTGTAACAGAGTTTCTATTAGCTCTCAGTAATAAATGAGAAAAGTAAGGCCTAGAGAGAGGTTAGAGTTCACGATAGGTTACTACAATTTAATAACTTAAAAGACCTGTAAGACATGAGATTCCCCAAGCATTTCTACTTGTACTAGGAAAAACAGTGGGAAGAAACAGGACAATCAGTGCTTGAAAAAGGAGAGGGTCAGTGAAAGAGAAGACTTCCCACAGGGACTGCAATAATGGACTGGAGCACAGTGGAGAATAAGAGGATGGTGCCGAATAAGGAAAGGTTTCAATGTTGTTCATAGGGTTACTAGGAGCCAGAGTCAACAGGACAGCTCCTTGTAACAGCAGAGTCAAGAGGAAAAAAGGGTACACCGAGAAATCTAGTTGTAGTTGTTGTTATGTTCTGTAGAGTCGCCTCATAACGACCCTACGTACAATAGCCCTAAGGCTTGTCCTATCCTGTGCCAATCTCATTGTCTCCGACACACCTACCTCCATTATCCCAGTCACTGAATCCACCCACCTCATTGAGGGTCTTCCTCTCCTACACTGTCCATCCACCCTTCCAAGCATGATGTTCCTCTCCAAGGACTGGTCCCTCCTTGCAACATGTCCAAAGCATGTCAGATAAAGCTTCAGAATCCTTGCCTCCAAGGAGCAGCCTGGCTTAACCCTCTCAAGGATGAAGCTGTTCATTTTCTGTGCAGTCCATAGTATATTCAATACTCTTCTCCGACACCACAGCTCAAAGGTATCAACTCTCCTTCTATCATCCCTAGTCTAGCTCTCTGATGCATAGCAAGTGATTGCAAAGACTATGACATGTATCAGGTGCACATTAGTCTCCAGACTGCCATAGTTGCTCTTCAGTACTTTAGAGGGGTCTTTAACCACAGACTTTCCCATCACAATACATCTTTTAATTGCTTGGTTGCTGGTGCCAAGAGTGTTGATTGTGGAGACAAGCAAGATAAAACTGTGAATACTCTCAATCTCTTCACCATCTATCCTGATGCTGCCAATCAGCCCAGTGGTGAGAATCTTTTTCTTGATATTGAGCCTCAATCCATACTGAAGATTGCAGTCCCTGAGCTTAAATACCATTACTGGTCTCTTAAGGTAAAATGCCTTCTATCTCCTAAACTCAGTAACTCTTCACGTTTTCTGTACGTCAGCTCAATAATTCAATCTGTTTCATTTCTATCACCACCACTTCCATGTCTACTATTATCTCACACATCCACACAAAAAAAAATTTAAACTTCTCCTACATTCTAACCATTAATAAATTCAGCACCTAAGAAATTTTTCTCCCAAATGACTTGGAGGGCTATAAGTAAACACTTACTATGAATTAGTTTAGGAGATTAAAAGAAAGGGAAAAGTTGAAGACTTCTTTAATTTTTACCATTAATCTTCTTTCTACTTTTTATTTTTTTCCAATATGTTAACATTCTTACATAGTTACCCAGAATTGATACAAAATAACCATTCCATACAACACAATAAAATAGACCAGCAGTATTAACTGAATTACTTACACTAGCTTTGCAAGGCTGGCCTACAGTAAGTATATAAAAACCCACCTAAGCTTAAATAATAACTGACATTATGTCTTTGGGCTCAGCATTATTCTAGAGAAATCAAATAGGTAAACATAAAGAATGTGATACTTATTTTTATTCTAACAAAGAATATTACATTCCTAAGCAATTAAAAGATGCCTTTAGATCTTTTTTTTTAAATAGCAGTATTTTTTAAAAAATCAGTATTTCCACGATTGTTCCACAAGTATTTTATTTAGGCTTAAAAGTAGCACAATATGAAGATCAAATAAATTAGAATCTAAACCCTGGCCACATGAAGACTGTCTAAACAGTGCACAGTACCTTTTTAAAATAATTCTTAAAATTCTGAAACCTGTTCTAGTGTTTAGTTTATATAGAAACAAACAAAAAAGCTTCATAATGACTAGGATTTGGGAGTTTGTTCCCTTAGAAGTCTGGCTCTCAAAGACATAAATAAATGTGTTCACAATGGACAAAATTTTGGTATAGTTGTCAATAAATAGTGACTTACAAACCTACCTAATGAGGCAAAGAACAAGTATAAGGTAATGATGAAAGCCCCAAATCAGGAAGGTCTTATTCTTTATAATTATGGAGTAACAACTTTCTTGAATAACTGCATATGTCCAGTATGTCATCCTCTGTAATACTGAAAAGTAATACTGGTAAATTTTATGAAGTTATTGTTTTCATTATATAGCTAGGAAAACTGAGATCCAGGGAAGGCCAGTAACTTGCTCAAACGATAAAATAACAATTAAGAACTAAAATTCATCCTATCTTACATCCAGAGTATGCTCTTTCCTGAGACAGCACCACTATGTCATTCATCTACTAGCTATGTCAATGAAACAAAAAATAGTTTCACAAAACACTTAAAATTATTTGAAGTCCTTTATCCGCTCTTTCGGGAGCTCTGGTGTAATAAATAGTAAGGAAGTGTGCTGCTAGGCAAAGGTATGCAGTTCGAATCCACGTGCTGCACCCGGGAGAAAGACAGAAAATCTCGTCCCCCGTGTTTTACTGCCTCTAAAAACCCATCAGAGAGTCTGTTATAGGTCGGTTCCAACTGCGCTGTACACAACAATCAGCTGATAGGCTCTGAATAAAATGCATTCATATCCATTTAAGTCTGAAGACAACTCAAAACTACTGAGCATTCTTATATCCCTGGAGATGACAGCCTGGACAGTTCTTTTAACAAGCAATTTAATCCTCCTTTGGGACACTGACACCGAAACTCAACGGGTGATAACCATAACCTGCATTGTTCCAAGGGGAGAAATTAAGACACCCGTCTATGTCCTACAATTAAACACGCCAGTGTACCCCTAGAAAATACAAGCAAGCTCTTTCAGATATGGGAACAATTTACCAGAGAGGGAGGCGGAGAAGGTTATTACCAGCAGGTACTGGGCAAAATACTGATTGCAAATACAAATACATATTTATTTATTTTGTTAACCACCCTTTTCAGAATCTCTCTCCACCCAGTAGAGGGTCTGAGTTGGGACTGGGAGAAGGAAGCGCTCCACTCCGAGAGGCTCCGGCCAGGGCGCCTCCATATGCGGAACTCTCGCCCAATCCCTGTGCAGACAGAAATCCCGTGACCGCCAGGCAGCCAGTTTGGAGAAAAGTAGACAGGGAGCCCGCAAGCTGGGTTGGCAGAGGACGCTGGAACCTGGCTGCTGGAGGAGAAAATGTCTCCTTGGCAGCTGCAGCCACTGTCCTGTGGTCTGACTTCCCAGGGCCCGCTGGCCCGCGAGGTGTGCCTCTGGCGGCTCCCCACCCCCTTCCTCCACCCCTTTCTCTCTGAGGCTCCTACACTCTGCAGGGATGCCGCGACTCACGCTACACTGCCTTGCCAAAAAAAGAAAGGAAAAAAAGAGAAAAAATCCCGTCTGCCTGCGGGTCGGGCAGGGCAAGCCCTTGGTTTCTGGGAGGGACAACACCGGGGGCACCCGCTGCCCTTGCAGAGCGGGGTCTTTGGCTCCGAAGGGGGTGGGGGGCTGGTTATGTGGCAATTGACATCTGCCTGGTTCTTGCACACACAGCCCTCACACACCCTCCTCCCAGCCGCTCCTCCCCTGGCCTCACACCCTGAAATCAGCCAAGGGCCATCTCCCTCTGCTCACCCCGACCTCTCTCTAGGCTCAAGGGGCACGAAGGCGTTGCCACTCGCGGACAAGTGGCCTCCATAGGCAACCATGTTAACCTTGCAAAGCACACATCTGCCCACACGCCCTGTGTCACAGCTCTGCCAAGCCTGACAGCCTCCTGGCCAGAGATGCCTATCCATCCCAGCCCTGCATTCACTCCCCAGCCCAGACCCAGACCCCTACGCCACCCACGGCCGCATTCAACCCTTCCACCCAAAAGCAAAGCCAGGAAAAGAGAGACAGGATTTTGCTAGAGCAAATATATCTACCTGGATCAAATTCAGGGATCCGAGCCTGGTATTCGGCTCCGACTCTCATCCCAACATCTGTAAAGCAATGCAAAAAAAAAAAAAAAGAAAGAAAGAAAAAAGAAAAGAAAAGAAAGCAAGAAAAAAGAAGAAAGAAAAGAAGGGGAAATAAGAAATAAAATAAAAAGAAACACTTAATAAAAGAGAAAAATTGCTGGGGTAGGAAAGCAGCAGCAGAGGGTGGATGGGAGATACTAACTCCGGGCACTCCGGGAGATGGCAGCGGATGGGGGCGGGGAGCAGGGGGGCGGAGGGCGGAGGATTGGTCGAGGGCGGAGGGACGGGGGTCGCGGGGGGGTGCGGGGTGGGGGGGTGCTGCACTGCACCGGGAGTTCGAGGCTACCGCAGTGCCCGGGCTCCGAGGGGAGGGAGGGCGGGCGCGCGGCGGGGGGGGGGGGCTGGGGGGAGAGGGGGGGGCAGGCGGGCTGGCGGGGAGGAGTTCGAGGCTACCACCGTGCTCGTCGTCGCTGCTGCAGCCGCTCTCCGGCTCCGAGTAGTGCAGCCCGCCGTTGGTGGACGAGGCGCCGCTGCCACCGCCGCCCGCCGGGCTCTTGGCGCTGCCGTTGGCCGATCGGTTCTTCCCCAGTAACTCGGGCCCTTTCTCCATCATGCCGGGCATGGTAGAAGAGGGGAGGGGGGAAGGTGAGGGAAAGAGGTAGGTGTCAGGGTGAAGGGGGAGATGGCTTACGACTGCGGGCGGGAGGAAAAGGAGGAGGAGGAGAAGGCGGAGGAGTAGGAGGGTGTTAATATGGAGCCGCCATAACCGCCCCGGTCCGGCAGTAGCGCAGTCGCCTCACAACAACCCACCCCGGCCCCGCCTCTCTCCCCTCCTTCCTCCGCCCGCTGCCCGCCCCGCACAGGCCCGGGCGCCCCTCTCGGCCGCGCCGCGCTCTACGCCGCCGCCGGTATCACTCCGCCCCGCAGGGAGGTTCCGGCCGCCCGGGGGGGGGGGGGGGGGTGGAAGGGAAGAGGGGGGAGGGGCAGGGAAGCCCCGCTCGCCGACGAGCCAGGCAACCCCAACCGAGTACTTATAAAATCGCCCCCGAAGCGCGTCCGCCTCTTTCCTTTCCTTCCTAGAGGGCGCTGTGAGGCACGGGCGGGAGGCGACCGCGAGGGAGCGGGACTTTTTGCCCTCTCGGGGCGGAAGAAACGCGGTCAGACTGAGAAAGGCCGGCGCGACCCAAGCGCCTGGGTCGCGGGGAGCAAGCCCCCCTTTTTGCAGTCCGGGTTGCAGGTCGCGCGGGCTGATCTGCTCTCAGCGGAATCGATGCCCATCTCAGATACTGCGTCTGTCTGGTTTCTCTCTCCCTGAGGCCCCTGGAGCAATGCAGAGCTGCTCGCCATGGAGTCGAGAAGTCTTGTCTGGGCGGCCTATTCCGAGGCCCCGGACAGCGAGCAAAACCAACTCGGTCACCACCTGGACGCTGCGATTTTTGTTTCTGACCCGCAGAGCGGGCCTTGATTCCCCAGAGGGACTGAAGTGGTGAGAGAGTTTTCCGTGCAGCTGTGTTTTTCTTTAAGACACCTTTAAAAAAAAAAAAAACCTAACCAACACAACACAACCCTTTCTCTTTTCGTCTTACTCTCACTTTTATTTTTGTTTTTTGTATCATATGAGTTGAATGAACCCTCGTGGCGTAGTGCGTTTCATGTGAGCCTGATAACGAAAAGGTTAGGTCGGCAGTTCGAATACCCATCCCCAGCAGTTATGCTGAAGACTGAGCAGATTGAAATGTCCAGCCTCAGAAATCGGACAGAAGGCTGAATGGAATCGACTTATGGCAGTGGGTGCATTTTAATAGAGTGAATACTCTCAAGTGGGAAAATAAAGTTAAGTCAGGGAGGATCCTTTCACCAGCCTGCACTGACCTGTCTGTAGTCCAGAAAAGGGTTGGCAGAGGGGCGGAGTCATGGAGTACAAGTGAGGCAATAATTACACTCCAGCAATTTCTAGGCTGGAAAGAGAGTGGAGATGTGTTCCATAATATTTTTTTGGGAATTGCATTAGGCCAAAGGAATATGGAACTGTATTTTTATTGTTCATCAGATTTGAGGACGTCTGCTGTGTGTGCCTAAGCTGGAATGAGTCTATTTGCACTTTTGCTCCCGACTATTTAATGGCTATGAAGTAAAGACGTACTCTGGACATCTATTAGGAATAATACATATGCAGAATGGCACTTGGTGGCAACAGGAAGATGTTAACTAAACCCTTGGAAATTATTTTTTTTTTTTCTGTAAGAATTCACTTACAGGTCAGTGCAGAATAGACCGAACCAGAAATAGGTATGACGCAGTATAAAGAAAGAAGGTTCGGATCCACGGTTTGTAGGGTCGCTGTAAGAGTCAAAGTCGACTCAACGTCACCTAATAGCAACAACAGCCAAAGCAAGACATTGAGAGTAGCTAAAGAAGAAACTTTTGAATATGTCGCAGGCTGTCAAAAGAACAAGGATCTTGAAGGAAGTGCAACCAGAGTGCTCATTGGAGACAAGGATGGAAGAGGCAAAATTTTGACTCACTTACTTTGGGCTTGTTTTCAGGAGGAATTAGTCCTTGGGAAAAATGCTTGGAAGGTAGAAGGTCAACAAAAGAGAGGAGGACCCTTAACGAGATGGATTGACACAATGATAAAACAGTGAGCCCGAGCATGACAGGTGGTGAAGATGGCACAGCATAGTGCAAAGTTCAGATCTGTTGTTCATAGGATTGCAGTGAATCAAAGTAAGCTCCATGACCCCTAATGACAAGAACAACAAAATAGGAATACTTAATCCGGAATTTAGAAAGAAAATTTAGGAAATAAACACTTGGCACTGCGCTAGTTTAAAGGGAAAGTCTGTTAAGCAGGACTAAAACCTATTTAGTTCTGATTTTGAAGAGAGTTGATTACTTGTGTCAAAACTTACTGTAACTGCATTAAATATTTGAATCACACAACTAAATATTATGTTCTATTGCTTTCATTCCCTGTTTTTCTTTCCTTAACAATTAAGAGTTCTGAATATTTGAATTCCCAGAGTTTTTCTACAAGGAGGGGTTACCCTGGCCAAATGAAATGACTAGACATTTCCCTTGAGGTTTGTTTTTTTTTTAATGTGGGGGGGTGGGGTGGGTTTTTTAGGTTGTTTATTTTTTTTTATATTCAATGATTTATTTATTGCAAATACCTTTTTAAAGACAGCAACGGCATTTCATCTGATGGACTGCACAGGGTTGAGTAAAGTTGTGAAAATAATCATTACAGAATCTCAATATCAGCAATCAAAAACCAGACCATGTGCTGACTGGAACAGACCATCAATTACTTATGTGCAAATTCAAACTGAAGTTGAAGAAAATGGAAACAAGTCCACAAAAGCCAAATGTGACATGATGGTTAGAAAGAAACTAAAAAAAAAAAAAATGGCATCTGAACCTATACCAAGAATTGAAACAAAACTAAGGCTCTCGCTGCAGAACTCTGTCTTTCAAAACTAAGTGCTATATTTTTTGTAATTTTTAAAAAATTTATTTATTTGCAAAGTTTGAATACATTTTTTTTCCACAAAAGATCCTTTCCATTTCCTACACACACACCCCATCAAATTGTGCAATCCTATGATTAACACCCCATCCCCTACCCATTCTCACCCGTGAGCTCCCAGCCTCTCTTCCCTTGGATTGGATTCTTATACTCAATCTACAATAATGGTTTTATGCAGTGTTTGTCTTGTGGGACTGAGTTAGTTCACTCAACATAATGCTCTCCAGTCCCTTCCTAGTTAGGTAGTAATCTACAAAATCATCGCTCTTGGGTGCTGTGTAGTATTCCATTGTATGAATCTACCACAACTTCATTTGTTAGTGGTTGGACATCTGAGCTGTTTCCATGTTCTTGCGATGGTGAATAATTCTGCTGTTAACATTGATGTACAAGTTTCCATTTGAGCTTGACTTCTCATTTTCTTGGGGTATATTCTAAGCAATGGACTAGCTGGGTCATAAGGAATTTCTCTGTTTTTTAAGGAAGTGCCAAACTGCATTCCAGAGTGGCTGTTCCATTTTGCAATCCCACAAACAATGTGTAAGAGTTCCTATCTCGCCGCATCATCTCTAATGTTTATTACTTGCTGTCCTGTTAAACTTTGCCACTGCTACTGGAGTGATAGGGTATCTCATTTTTTTTTTTTTTATTTGCATCTCTCTTATTGCCAGTGAGTTTGACCATTTCTTCATATGTCTGTTGGCTGTTTGAATATCTTCCTCTGTGAAAATTGTTTCCATGTTTTTTGCCTATTTTGTAATTGGGTTATCAGTCTTCTTGTGGAGGGCCAGGAGTATTCTATAAACTTTCGGTATGAGACTCTTGTCTGAGATGGTATTTCCAAATGTTTGTTCCCAGTTGGTAGGTTTTCTTTTCACCTTGTTGGGAAAAGTTTTTGATGTACACAGAGATTTAATCTTTAGAAAGTCTCATTTATCGATTTTATCCTCTTCAGAGTGTGTATTTCTGGCTTGACAGTTATTTTAATTGTAAACAAATACATTGATACATGTGTTTAATAAAAAGGATTCTGTGTTTTTGGTCCTGTAAGACAAAAGCTACATCCTTAACCCTTCATTTACAAGTATAGATGCCATTCTGAAGCCTCTTAGCTTGCCAGATTCCTAACGTCCAATTTTGCAACATGTTTCATGAGACTTGTACAAATATCTACACATAGATTAGAAACCAGAACATTGTGAAGATCTAAAGATGTCTTTAACTCATTTTTTTCTCTTTAAAAATTAGTGAAAACATTAAAGTGAAAAGAACATATGGTTTTCCTGAATACAAGGGGGATGGGGAAGAGCAAAGTAAGGAAGACTTAATTTGAAAAACATGGGAGAAAAGCTTATGACACTTTGGAAGAAAGAAAGGAAAGCAGATTCCTATTTTACCCTTGAATAAAAGAAAAATATTGAAACTGAATTGCTTCTGAAGAATAATAATGGGTCTGAACTGTTTCAAGACCAAATGATTATCTGCTTTTAATTTTGGTTGAAATTATTCTTTCAGCCAAGGAAGGCATTTTGAATGACTTGGTAAATGTTTGGGAGATTTTTTTGTTGTTTTTTAGGTCATATAGATTTTTGATAGAATAACAAATACTTGCTATAATCAAATTGGTTCCGAATCAGTGACCTGCCATTAGGTTTCTGAAGCTGTAAATCTCAACAGGAAGAGACTGACCATTTTTATGCTGTAAAGCCACTAATTGATTAAAACCACAGAACCATGCAGTTTTTCAGTTAGCAGTGCTATATGTGCATGTTATCAACTATACTATCAGAGCTCCCTTCTTGATACAGTTATTAGGTGTCATTGAGTTGAGTACAACTCATAGCGACCCTATGAATTTAGATCTGAACCCTGTCTTATCCTGTGTCATCTTCACACTTCCTGACACATGAGCCCTTTGTGGCAGTCACATGTCAATCAGTGTGGTAGACAGTCTCTCCTTTGCCGATCCACCACCCTTCCAAGCATCATGTCCTTCTCCAAGGAATAGCCCCTCTTAGTAACATGCCCAAAGCATGTAAGGTGAAGCCTCATCATTCTTGCCTCCAAAGAGCACTCCAACTGCACCCTCCCCAAGACATACCTGTTTGTTCTTTTGGCCGTCTGTGGGATGTTC